AAAACAATAGGGATCAGAGCTCTGGGGGATTGGATCTGAAAGTCTGGTTCCAACTAGAAACAAGGCGATTTCCATGCATGACATAGTCTCATGGCCCTGAGTGGTGACCCAGGCCACTGGACTCTTTGCTGCATCCAGGTCAGCAGTCTACACACTTTGCTCTCAGTTTTGAATAGAATTGATTCTAATAAAATCCAGATTGTTAGGAAACTTCAAAGCTTATCTCTGGATAGGGAAGTACAAAGTACCCAAGGAAAAAATGTGTTGAAACGTAGTCACGGTCTTCAGAAGGCCATTATAAGCACTCAATACTAGTGAGTAAGGCCTAAGGACCAAACCCTTTCTATCAAGTATTTGTTCATTAGGGCACCTGGGTGACTCTGTGGGTTGGGTGTCTGCCTTTGACTCAAGTCATGATCCCAGGGTCTTGGGATCAAGCCTCACACGAGGCTCCGTGCTCAGAGGGGAGCCTGCTTCTCCCTCTCCCTCTGCCTGCTGTTCCCCCTACTTGTACACATGCTCGCTCTCTCTCTCTCCCTCCCGCTCCCTCTCTTGCTCTCTCTGTCAAATAAATAAAATCTTTAAAAAAAATTTGTTCATTAGAACAAGTTGTTATCAGGGAGCCAAGAGGATTCAGACAGACAAGGTTTCAGTTTGCTAGAGATCAATACCAAAAGAAAGGCAAGAAGAATGAACCCATGAGATAGTTTCATTATTCTTCCTTACGGTTGAGGAAACTGAGGCACAGTGAACTTGCCCAAAGTCACATGGGTTGTCAATAGCAGATTAGGATGCAAACCTAGATCAACCCAACTATGTCTGTGTGTAGAGGGAAAGGAGAAGCTGTTCTCCGCAGAATGAGCTAGAACAGAACCTCGTTGAGTAATCCGGGGCTTTTCACCCCCCGGTTTTCCCCAGTAGAGAGCCCTAATGGACTGAGATGAATACCCCAGACTATCAGTTTTACCAGAAAAATACTTTCAGATATTTTCTATAATTTTGTCTAGAGGAAGCAAGGTACAGTGAGTGACCAGTTGTAGCTATGTTTCAAATTGTCACCCAGTGCTGATGGACAGGTGGTAGCTTCCAGGAACAATATGGGGAGGAGGCCAGGTTAGGCACAACAGGAAAGCATTCCATAATCCACTAGTCAAGTCTGCCATGGTCCCAGGGATGAGGAATGAGAGACTACGATGGATGTGATGACCCCAGGTTCTTGTCTAGCTCAGTGGTTCTCAACTCTGGCTTCAGAGTGAGTCACATGGCAGCTTTAAAAAGTGCTAGTACCCAGGCCCAAGGCCCCAAAATTCTGATTAGTCCATCTGCTGTGTGGCCCGAGCATCAGCATTTTTAAAAAACCAGTTATTCCAGTGTGCAGTCAGGACCAATATCTGCTAGTAGCAGTAGATCTTGGGCACATCACATTCCTCTTTGGGCTTACTGTCCTTGTCTGTTTGAAAAAAAAAGAAAAGTTATTTTTTAAAAGCTCTCACTGCAGGTATAAAAATATGAGCTTACAGTAGGTAATTGTTAATGTCCTTTCTAGGATTAAACACTTTTATGAGTCTTTTTCATGATGTAATCATTCTAAAATAATTATTTCATTTAGGGTTCAGAATATATTATCATTAGTGTTTTTCTTAGTCCCTGGAAACAACCTGGTGTCAATGCTGGTGTTAAGGTTTGAGTCCCATCATAAGCTACTTTCCTTCCATGGGAAAGAATTGCAACCTCCGGATAGAAATGGTGCAAATCCTTCCCAATAGGAGAAGCATCTCAGAGCACGTGGCTCTCCCCAAAGTCAGTCACGGGCATCATCTTCCACTGCAAAGAGTGCCACTTAACTAATAATACCAAGTAGAAATCAGGACTCTAGAAAGTTGACTGAAAACAATTTTAAGTCAATAGCGAAATTATACGTAACTTAGGAGCCATTGTAAGTTCTTATATTAAAGATTCTTTTTTAAGATTTATTTATTTAAGAGGGAGCAGCAGAGGGAGAGAATCTTCAAGCAGATGCCCCTCTGAGCGGGAAGCCTGACGTCCCGCTCGATCTCACAATCCATGAGATCATGATCTGACCCGAAACCGAGAGTCAGACACTTAACCCATGCCCCAAAGATTGTTTTTAATTGACATTCACAAGACGTGTAGGGAAAATTATAAAAGATTTGCTCTCAAAGAATGTAATGCTTTTTTTTTTTTTACTTTTTTTTATTGAGGGATGGGGGTCAAACAAGATTTTTCCCAGTAGATTGAGGCATAGCATATTACAATCATCTTCCACCTCAACATCTGATGCTAAGAAAGACCCAGCAAACGCCTTCCAAGTCCCTTCTCTCTGGCCTTGGTTTCCTTTCACTGCTTATTGTATACTCGAGACTACCAGGGCTTCTCTGCACTCAGCTTTTATGGAAGAACACTGCATATTTAATCTAATTACCAGCACAAATTTATTCTGAAATATCCCAGGTCTAGTGAAAAAACCCAGAGACTAAGAAGGAAGGGATTTGCATGACCCCACCTGGAAAGGCATGGGTATGTATGCTAGGGAAGCTCAGCACTGTGTCCCCAGTGAAGGAGCCCCAGGCCCCTCATTGCCTTTGCCCCTGATGGTCAGCAGGGTTGAGCACAGACCTGGAGTCAGACTGCCTGGATCTGAGTCCTGACCCTACAACTTCAGGGCACAGGATGTTCTGCAAGTCACTTATCCTCCCTGTGCCTCTTCCCCACCAGTGGAAAAGAGATTGTAAGAACACCGACCTCACAGAACTGGTGGGAGGAAACCAGTGAAATAATCCATGGAAAGCATTTAGCATGGCACCTGGCACATAGTAAGTGCTCAGTAAGTGTGAATTCTCTGCTAAGTTCTGTCAATATAAAAGAGAACTTCCTGCCACAAAACTAGATCGGTTTTCTCCTTTGGCATTCTTCTGCTTTGCCTTAAACGTGTTTCACCACCACCAAGTTTCATGTCCTACGCAGACCCAAAATGACCCGTTTCAAGGGAGTGTCAAATCGCAGGAGTATTTTCGCAAAATGAAAGCGCCCGCCTGCACTGTGCTCCCTGTGTGGCCAACAGGCCCAGAGCTCCTGGTCATCACACAGGAGCAGAGTTGGTAAAACGTGGATTATTTCTTAAGGAACTATAATAATCAGTCCTTTACACGAAGTGTCTGACTCTGGTGAATCCCAAACATCAAAATACAGACATCTACAGGCAGAATCTGTACATTAGGCTCTTCACAGCCTAGTGAAATTCAACACGGGATGCCCCACATTGGCTCATCTTGGGTTATAACATGACCAAAATGGAAACTGCTCATCTGTGTGTCAGTACTTGCGCTAGAAACATACACTTCTCCCAGACAGAGAGTAAGGAAAGAAATTTGCCTAAACTTCCCCTTCTATGGTTTAAAAATTCTTATTGTACTTTCGGGTCAGCTGTTGAGTCATCCAGTCACATTCTGAGTCCAACTCTTCCGTCCCTGAGGCCTGAAGGACCCAGCAGATGAAGGAGGTCCTGAAGAACTCTTTACAGAGCTACAGCTAGTTAGAGTGGAGAAGAAAGACACAAATTTTGCTCTGAGAGATTAGGGATTTAAAAAGACCCATGGTCAAAAATAAGTAAAGGAACACCTGGGTGGATCAGTCCATTAAGCAGCTGCCTGAGGCTCAGGTCATGATCCCAGAGTCCTGGAATGGAGTCCCAAGTCAGGCTCCCTGCTCAGCAGGAAGCCGGCTTCTCCCTCTCCCTCTGCTGTTCCCCCTGCTTGTACGCTTTCTCTCTCTCTCTCTCTCACACACACACACACAAATAAATAAATAAAATATTTTTAAAATAATAAAATAAATTTAAAAATAAAAAAATTTTTTAAAGACGCATCTTCTGAGCCTTACCAGACTTGATGAAACTAATAAATCGAGAATCTGGCCCATAGGGGGCAGACCTGCACTGAGGACCGGATAAAATGTCCCTGCTGGGCTGTGGTCTGGGAACAACATCCATAACACTGTTTTAAAATATGATCCATGTCCATTTTCCCTCAGTTGGCCTGCTGTTGTTAAGGATGTCCCGCAGTGGTGGAGCTCCGTGTTTCTTCTCCCGCCAAAAATAGAAACCCTCCGTGGTCTGAACCACCTGTCTGTTTTTAGGAGAAAAGGAGAGGCACCAAACTCCAGATCCCTTTCACCAAGGACTCGGAACCACCCTCTCCCCGCGGAAGCACTTGTCATCTGGAGTTTAGGGTCCACCTCTGGAAAATATCAGCACAATTTCAGTAACTCCCTTCCGAAAAAGGACTCCTTAAGTACTTCAGGACACCTAAGTTGTCCTAAAGTTCAAGAGGAACCATGAAAGGACTCCTCACCTCCAACAGAAGATGGGCAATCAGGGTCCCGGGCTTGGCAGAGGCAATAGTCGAAGCCACAGGAGTCAGTGCGTTTGTGCTGACAGGCTTTCTGAGACGGGGAAACCCTATCTCCGTGACCTTAGAACATGACTACTCCGCACAAATATTCCCAGAATGCAGTGACTGGGCTTTATTTTTAATTTTATTTATTTAAAGGTACAGAAAAACACAAAAGGAAAAAATCATAACTCTCACTCTTTTGGCGCACTGAAACACACAATATATAAAAATGCAGAAATCCTCCCACTCTCCCGAGAGGTGAACACTGTTCATTTGGTCCCCGTCTTTCTGGATGGGCAGATGAGACATTTACTGATTTTTTTTTTCTTAACAACAAAAAAAAAGATGGTGTCCTGTTGGCAGCCTGGGCAACCTCAAGCCCACCATCTGCAGAGGAAGGCTCAGAGGGACCAGCCATCTCCCCACAGGGCCTGCTGGCAAAGAAGGGCCAGCTAGGCCTCCAGGGGCTGCGCCTCACAGCCAGTCAGAAAAGGAATGTTCCAGACACTGATCACAAAACTTCTGACGTCATCTAAATCATTACATTGAGCAAATTACTATATGAACACAAGTACTATATGAACAAAAGTACAAGCCACGTAAGAGTACAGAATTTAATGACATATATATTGTATGTAATATGTAATATATATATTGTATGGGTGTATGTGCATATTTTTTCCAGTGTATTATAAGCACTGTAGGTTCTATAAATTTTAACCCCACACTATTCTCTTAGTTGTGAGCAGTGGCTGTGCTTGACCCATCATAAGAACTGAAAGCCAGGAGCTGCCAGTTTTAAGGGACAGAAAGCCTTTCAGTCCTATCCCTGTATCTCCGTGCCCATATTTATTGCTATCATATAAAAATCTAAACCTGAGCCCTTGGTGAATGTTCCCCCTGGGCTTCCTGCATCCCATTCCTTAACAGACCCTGTGCCCAAGGGTCCATGTCCAGCATCCAGCCCCACACAATAGCCCAGATGCTCCACCATCACCCCCACCTCAGGTCTGTGTTCTTCCGGTCATCCCCAAATGCTACCTGTGCCCCCTTCACTACCCTCTGGCCACAGAGACAACCAGAGCTACTACCATGACTGTGCTTCTAAGGTGAGAGCCTTCCCTGTTCTCTCAGGGGGAAGAGACAGCAGCCTCCCTAGGGTAAGGTTTTCAGCTCTGCAGGTGTCCACCGGCCATGAAGTAGTCCACTGCATCAGGAGGGCATGAGGGAGTCCTCCAGGGAGCCTCAGAAGTGCAGGGTGAGCGTGGCAGGAAGCGCGTCACAGCACAGTTAGCTAAATCGTCACGTGCTGGCTTGTCTGCTTAACCTGCATGAGCAAAAGCAACATACAGGAAGGCACTGTGACTGTCCTTGCCAGATACTCCAAATCCCAAGCTCTCTTCGGTGGTTAAGCTTGGCATGTCCTGAAGATACACGTATTGTTCCCTGATTATTGTAACCTGTGCCTTTTCTGGACAGGTTGCAAGAAGAGAAGACAGCATCTTAGAATGAGAACATTTGAACCAGAAAGAACATCAGACTAGACCATGAGTCCAGCCCCTTCACTTTACAGATAAGTCAACAGGCTCGGAAAGTTGAGAGGACATGCCTACAGACACATAAATAATGGTGTCAGGAACTTATTTAGGTGAAAGGAGTCAGAAATTATCAAGTCCCCCCAGAGGCAGGTGGGCCCCTGGGAAAGAGTATCTTCAATGCCCTACCCCTCCCTTTGGCCTAATTCTCTTTACTCTTACCTTGTCAGATGTGTGATCTGCCCAGGCCAGACCTCTCCCGATGTTCCCCTCTTTCTACCATCCCCTCCCTCAACCAAGACAAACCACTCCTGGCAACACTATCATGGCCTCCCCAACTAAACCAGCTTCCCAAGTTGGAAAACAAGCTGATAAATAAATGCCCCCCATCCCAGCTGTTAAAAGCTGATAATGGCTCCTAGTGGTGCTGCATTCATGTATATTCTTCTTTTTTTAACTTAATTTTTGAAAAGGCTCAATTCATAGGGTTCAAAATACAAACAATATAAAAATCCTCATTCCTCTACCTGCTTTTCATTGAACCAATTCCCATCCCAACTCCACAGGTAAACATTTTTATTAGTTTCTTGTATAACTTTTCAGAGTTTCTTTATATTCATATAAGTAAATACAGATATATATATATATATATATATATTCACAGAGAATTCTTAAGCGTTCCCAGAACTGTAAGCCAAAGAAATCTTGACAGTAGAACTTCAGGCACTCTAAAAATCTCATTGGGCAACAGGTCTTTCCCAGAGCCACTTTTGGCAATGACTTGTAAGGGGCTGCTTTCCTATAGTCTGAGATCCATGCTCTAATGAAAATTAGTTCCAATGGGACTCTGTAACAGGATCATCACCCAGAAAGAACCACAACCCACTGCCTCCTTTTCAAGTCTGAAACGACGAAGGGGTGGGGTTGGAGAAGCACTGAGATCCCTTTCTTCATGTCTTGATTCATTTATGTTAAACATTTCTATGGGCCAGGCCCTGAACTAGGCCCTGGGGACACAGACATAGTCCCTGCAATCATGGAAAAAGGAAGACAAGGTTATCATTTATATTATTCTAACTGCAACTGACAACAAATCCAACCCAAACAGATCTGTGTTTAAAAAAGAGAACTGAGGGCACCTGGGTGGCTCAGTGGGTTGAGCATCTGCCTTCAGCTCAGGTCATGATCCCAGGTCCCTGGAATCAAGCCCCACATAGGGCTCCTGGCTTCTCCCCCTGCCTACCGCTCCCCCTGCTTATGCATGCACTCACGCTCTCTCTCACCCTGTCAATAAAATCTTTAAATAAATAAAAAATAAAAAGAGAATTGACTGGTTCCTATAAGAGCAGCCTGCAAGGATAGAGTTGGCTCTAGGAATAGCTTGATTCAAAGCTTAAATGCTGTCACGAGGAGCCATCTCTTGCCTTCGCTGCCTCTTGGTTAATTCAATTCTCAGGCAAGTCGTGGTGACCCAGGCAACCTGCGGTTCAATCATTACCAACTTAGGCCATTAGAAGTGAATGAGTTAATGATCCCCAAAACTCAAACGAGTATTCAGGGATCAAGTGCCCTTAGCCCTGATTGGCTCATTTAGATCACCTGCCCATTCCTGGGCCCATCACTGAAGCTGAGGGGGATGAACTATTGCTTAGTGTAGACTAGGTCACTGCTCCCCCAGGGGAGGGGTCAGCTTTACCCACAGCACAGAGGTTGAGAGCGAAGGAGGGATAACAAAAAGATACAGTAGCTATAATACAAAATAGGCTGCTGGGCCACAAAAATAGGGACTATCCACCCCATCCATGTAATTACAAGTGAGAATATTTTGAAGGGGAACTACAAGGAGCCATGGGTCACCTGCCCCAGGGTGAGGCAGCTGGCCCCTGTTTCCTAAGGAAGGAGCAGGCATCCGCCAAGTGGAGGTTGTGGGTTCTTAATCATAAAAGGGCAAACTCACGGGAAAGCCCAGAGACAGGAGAGAGCAAGCCCTTTGGAGGAACTTAAAGATCGGCAGTATGACTGGAGCTCGGAGAGTGGGCCTAAGGAATGGCAGAGACGAAGCGAGTGTTGAATGTCACCTGTCACAGTAGCTGGGGACCCGGTGCTATGTGGGCATGAGGATCTAATCTGACTAGGCCCCTTCCGTGCTTAAAACACAAAGTCGCCGGCTCAACATGGTCTTCAGTGCCCTGTCCACTCTCCAGCCTCCTGCCTCTCCCACACTTGGCCTCTCCCTGCACTTCTGGCCACACAGCCCCAACTCAGATGAACATTGAGATGGGAAGGGGTCCATGTGCAGACACCAGCCAAAGACCTGTCCTCGGCCCCTGCTGGCAGTAGGTAGCGGCAGGCAGGGGAGAAGCGGGCACTCCAGGCAGCACCTGGCCTCCCCATACTTGCCACGGCTGCCTCACCCCTGGACACTCACCATATGAGCTGAGGCCAGAACAGGGGCTTTCACTGGGTCTGGGGTCAAGAACAAACATGGCGGGTGAGCAGTGACTTTTCAGGTTAAGGAGAGGGCAGCGCAGCAGGGGGCCACAGGCTCAGAAAGGAGGATTCCTGAGCTCTACCCCTGGGCTCTGAAAGCTGCTGTGAGCGGATCCAGACTCCAGCTTTGAACTCCTTGAGAAATTTTCCGTGACTTCTTTCAGGAGTGAGCCATGGGAAAGGCAACTTCTTCAGGGTCACAAATATGGGAAGCTGGAGAAAACAAGACAAGTGAGGGTCAGGATTGCATTTAGTGCCTAATACCTCTTACCTTAGGTTCTGCGCAGAATTTTCTCCCTGCTTCCTCTCTGGCTTTTGACCTTTCTGACTTATGTCAAAGCTACCCAGTTTAGATACGTGTTTTTAATTAAAAATTGCCTCCATCACTTTCTGGAAGTAGATTAATAAATAAGTGAAAGAAAGATATTGGGAAAGTGGATTTGGGGTTTGGGGTTTTTTTTTTTAAGTCCACAGAGCTGCCATAGGTGTAAAGTATTTTGCTAGATTAACTCCAGGGCCTCCCGTGTTTCAAAGCGTTTCCCTATCTTACATCTAGGCCGTCAAGGAGGAATCAGGGGCGCCACAGGCCGGTGGCCGGCTTGCCCTGCTCTGTCCGTTGCTCACCCCTGCACAGCACACAATTTCTTCCTGCCACTGGACAAGTCCAGCTGCAGCTGCAAGCACACATCTGTGTTTAGCTAACAGACCCGCCAGGCTCACGCCAATTATCTCTTTTGTGCAAAGAGACCAAAAACGTGCATAAAGCCTCGCGGGGGCCCCCATGTCCCGAATGCGGTTTCTGTGCAGTAATCGCCATCTGCGTTTTCTCATTCATCAGCTAGAAAATTGCGTGCCTCCAGATCCGCTCTTAGAATCTGACCTTCTAGAGCAGCCCCTCCAACCGCCCCCCCCGGTGGCAGACTCTTTGGCTACAACTCCAGACTCCTCCAGGTGCACAGCAACTCCTTCAGATTTGTCCAATTTCCTTAATCTTAATTTTCTATTTCTTGACATTAGAACCACGTGAAGGCAGCACAGGGATTCTCGTTGGCTGACACTGAGGCTGTCAGAAAACTAGGGAAGTCCTCTCGGCTGCGGGGAAGGGTCCTGTAGGGTCCAGACCCTGGCGATGCTGGGAGCCACCAACTGGGACACCAACCCTCTTCCCCAGCACCTGCCTGCCCATTTTGCCCTTTTCTCCAGAGTATCTCCAAGCACATTATGGAGATGGCCACCTGCTCTTTCAAGAAGGACTTGATCCTATGCGAATACCTATGCACAGGTTCCTAAAAGCCTGAGGGATTGATCCAGGCCTTCTCTTTTTCCCCCCAGACACTGGAGCAGAGCAGAGAGGGGATGGAAAGGATGGGCTCTGGGCCTTTCATCTGGTCCTTCCCAGAGCAGGTGCTCCTCCCTGCCGACTGGCCCGTGATTACCAGCACCTGCTAAGCCTTTTCCCAACAGAGAAACTGAGTCTCAGCAAAGAGCTCAACATCATCACCCCCCACATGGAGAAAGGTCAGGACTTTAAATAGTCCCCTTTCATGCTCTACCTCACACCACTTAAGGTCTGCTTGTAAACTAGCCCTGGGTCATTCACCTCCCACACCCAGGCAGCCTCCAAGGTGTTTTGCTGGATAAAAGCCCCTCCACTCCTGAGACAAAGATGCGCTCCTTGCCCCTCTCTGAAGAAAGCAGCGGCTCCTGCCATCATTGTGGCTGGACATCAGACATCTTCTCCTCCACTTCAGTAAGACATCCGGTGACAGTGAGCAGCCTGCGAGGAGTCAGGGAAAGCTGGAGGCAGCCAGGCTGGTTAGGAGAACAAGGCAGGGAACCCTGAGGGACGTGAAGACGACGAGCCCTGAGCTGCCCATGTGTGGTGGTGACAGGACATCAGGAGTCAGCTCAGCTGGGGGTGGAGGGTGGGGGAACTGTTAGGAACGTGGACTCAAAGCCCCCATCACAGAACTGCTGTGTCAGAATCCATCCTGCAGATCCCTGGACCATGAGAACATTCAAGAAGCCCTGATTTCCAGGCACCTCCAAGATGGATCAAATCAGAAGTGAGTCTCTAGTTCATTTCTTTCCCTCTCCCACAGGACCCCTGAGAATAATAAACATTAGGTAGGAAGGTCTTGATGCAAAGTAAGAGAACATACCTTTTCTCACTTCATTCTGGTCAGGATCTCGAGAGGTTGGTGATGCTCTCTCCCTTTGACAGAGGAAGGAGCTATTAAAGGAACCGAGACCACTTGATCAAGGCTACAGACTCCAAGAGCTGGGATCTCATCACTGGCTGAAACCTGCCTCTTGAAGCGGGAATTCTTTGCTTTGGGGGCTGCATCTAGAACAAAGCCCCAAGCAAAAAACACTCCCTCTGTAAATCCAGGCTGGAACTCCCTTCAGGAATCTGGGTTGAGGCTCCCTGGGGCCAGCCTGCAGGGGTGGGGGGCATGGGAGGGGCCCCAGCAGGGCAGAGCTTTGAGCTGCTCCCATGAAATAACTGGGCACAAAGTCCCAGCAGCCAGGCCCTATTCGGGCCTGTCCTTCGGCCACAAGCTCCTTCAGAACAAAACAGAGCCCTCTGGGCCTGGGCCTGACTCAGCAGCTTCAGAGGCAGGCTGGGGACACATTACCCAGATCTCCTTGCTGCTCCTGTGAGCTCACTTCTCTGGACGCTGCCATGCCTGAGGGTCACAGGGTTACAGACCCCACCCCGCCCTAAAGACTTCTCTCCAGAGATGCAATTTAGAGCCCCTGTCTCTGAACCCTGGGCCAGTGTCCCTCCTCCCTGTAATCTGTCCTACTGCCCAAGGCAAAATCAAAGGCTCCAGGCTCCTACACGAGGCAGCACAAACAATTCTGCAAACTTGAGCCCAATAACCACGCCAGATACTTTTGCGTACTTCATCTCCTTTTACCCTTAACCTGTGGAGACGGGTACTGTTCCTCCCCTTCCACAGCTGTGACAATGAAGCTAGTGGGTTGTGGAGCTAGGATTTAAATCTGGGTCCTAACTCCAGACCCAGTATTTAACCACCTAAGAGCCACATCTCACGTACATTTAGTTTTGGAATTTAGCATATTATTTGATAATTATTTAATTGCAAGTGTGTGTGCCTTTTCCACTAGACCATACACCTCCAGGGGTCCCCATCTTATTCACAGCTTGTATCCCAGTGCTTAGCGTGCCCAGAACACCATCTATGCTAAACACACTAGGCTGAACTAAATTATTCACAAACTTTTACCAAGCAAAATCCTTCGTGCCAGACCTGGTGCCAAGAACAAGAGGTACAAAGATGAAAAAGAGAAAACAAAGAAACAAACAAACAAAAAAACCCTGCATTAAACATACAGACACTGCAGCATAATTAGGGACTTGTAAGGATAGACGGATTAACAAAGTGTGGTGGAGACACAAGGATGGTGCCCAGGAGTCAGCCTGGAGAAAGGGGTTAGGGGTGACCACCACAGCTCATGCAGAACCTGAGTGAGATTGGACACAAGAAAGAAATTCACTACAATGGCTGGATCTTTCAGGGAGGAAAGAGCAAAAGCTGAACCATGAGGGTTTGAAAGAGCCCATTTCACAAGAGTCTTAGGGGAATAATAAACAGCCCTTGGAGGGAGTGGGCTTTCGAAGGGTCCCCCATAAATTGAATTCCTCCCACCTAAAACCACAGACCTCCCCCTTTCCCAGAGCAAAGTCCACCCCAGTCAACAAACACTGGGAAACAGGACCACATGCATCTTTCTGCAGGACAGGAAGAGCAAGATATCCGGCTGAAAGCGCTGTGTCTTTTCTCCCAGGTCAACAAATAGCCCACCCCTGCCCCAGGAGGGCAGAGGGAGGAGCTTTTTCTTCTATACTCTTCCCTCTAGGGAGCCTGAAATTCCTTCCAGTCCAAAGAAACAGAAGACCTTGGGAATAACAGCCCCCACCCCAGCCCACCCCTCCACCCCCAGTGTTCAGAGCTGTCACGGGAAGTGCTACAGAGTGCGGTGCCCAAGACTGAACAGATGGACAGGTAGCCTGGGGCCACACACAGGCACACACAAGGTCCCGATGCTGTGCCGTGGGGAGAGCTCTACTCCTGAAGGTGATGGTGAGCCACGAAGAATGGCGAGCAGGATGGTGACAGGACCAGGAAGGTCACCAGGAAGAGCTGTGGGGGTGAAGAGGGTGGGAGGGTAACCTGCAAGGGTCACCCCAGAACTCTGCCTGGGGCAGCAAAGATGGAAAAAAAGAGGGAATCGAGAGGTGTTTGGGAGGTGACACACTGGACCAAATGATTAAGTGGGTGTGACAGAAAAAAGGAAAGAGGGAGTCAAGTTTCCCTCCAGGGTTCTGGCCAGCAGCTGGCTGGGTGATGGTATTGTTCTGGGGGCTGAGCGGAGGGAGAGGGATTGGCAGGGGAAGAAGAGCTCACTGTGCGACATGTTGGGTTTGAGGTCTTGAATATCAGAAGATGCCTAGGAGGTACGGATATCAGGAGGGAAAGCTAGCTTGGAGGGAGAGACCGGGAGTCAGCCAAGGAGGAGAAGGCACATTTCCCAGACAACAGGAGGCTGGTGTGGAAAATAGCATGACAGTGAGTCACCCAGGATGGTCTTTCTCTGCCTGGATCTCCTCCTGCTCCTAGGAAATTCCAGGGCCTCTCACACACATCCCAGGGAAATCTGGGGGGCCCTGGGTTTGTGGGGGGGGGGGTAACTTGCTTGAACTTACTTCATGAACTAGGCCTCTGCTGCCACTTGGTACTCATGGTTTTTCCTTGGGTTCTGCTTACTGTGGGCCCCCTGGGCTCAGCCATGACTAGGGCCCTCCAATAGCCACGACACTAGCCCTGACCCACACTGCCAGTGCCCACCATCAAGGGCACTCCTGTCTGCATTGAGAAGAACAAATGTGTAACAAGTAAATGAAGTCTGACCACAATGAGAAGTAGTTTCTCTGAAAACCAACGGGAACCAGCTATATCCTAGTCCCTTAGCAGGCCAAGCCCCGCACAGTTCAGGACTAACCCACTCAGCCCACACTGTTGCCCACACCAAAACCACCACCTCCATGACCAGGAAGGTTCCTAGCATCCCTACACCCTGACCCCAGTCCCAGCTTGCCTTCCTTCCTACCCCAGGATTAGCATCTTTCCACAATGACTGATGTTGGAACCATTAATTTGCTTTGTAGGGGGAACATAACCCCA